GGGGGGGGGGGGGGGGGGGGGGGGGGGGGGGGGGGGGGGGGGGGGGGGGGGGTAGAGCTGCGGGGAAAGATATGGAAGTGTGCTGCTAGGGTCAGGGTTTTAGGTTTGATACGCGGTGGTGTTGTGAGCGCTTGTGTTGCGGAGGACGGCGCACGTCATTCGTTTCCTGACGTCGTTTAGCCACCCGCTGTAGCGTAAATCTTCAACAGTTTTGCAAATAGAGGGACTGGTAGGTATCGCTGTGGACGATACCGCGCCCAACCCTTGGGAGCAAGATCTCGCGCGTTGGAATTCTCGTTTTCCTGCTGGCCGGTCCCCTTGCGCGAACACAGAGACGTGGCGGGGGGGGGTCATCGGTGGACACATTGCCCGCAAGTGATGTTGTGAGGAAATTGGGGCTAGTCTATCCTCGTGTGGGTATACGAGCACCCTGATTTGGCATGTAGAAAGTGAAGTATCTTGCGATTCTGTTCCCTTTGTCAGACTCGGTTCTGAGCTTCGTAAGACAACAAGAGCGGTTGATCCAGAGAAAATACTGTCAGATACCCCCTCGACCTCGAGGTGCCCTTGCTATGTCTGCCGTTGGTTGTGTGCGAAAGGCATCTTCCTTCTCTACGCCAAGAGCAGTACCCCTCGGTAGAATTTTCGCCTGTTCTTAGAAACCCACAACCAACACATTGCACGAATCTAGGAGTAGGATTTTTGGATAGACACAACAGAGAAGCCTCTGACGTGCCCACCGTCATCGGTTACCGTTCGATTCCATCGCCGGCTCCCCTGACCACTGCTTGTCTTGCAAGTCATCGCTAGCGCTTGAACTGTAACCCGCACGGTGACTTCGTCGGGCATGGTGTCCGGGACGCCCGTCTGTTGCGCAAGCCATTGTCTTTGTTGACTCGGCGGGCCAAGCGCGTGGGCATGCGGCGATAGGCGGGCCGAAGTACGGCTCGGACGAGAAAACCGCTTGGCGTGTTGGCCTTCGCGAGGAAGTCGGCGTACCCCGCTGGACCATTGGCAATGCTTTGCCTTCATAGTGAGTTCGTGGAGCGCCGCTTCGTTGTGAGTCTTTGCTTTCGGCGCGGTGTTCCTCCTCGTTCTCCACAGCGTCAAGTCTGCTGGAGCCGTCGTGTTTCTCTTCCAAGTATCTTCCGTTGTGCTGAGCAGAGGGATCGGCTTTTCCCTCTCTGGCGCACGGCCCGAGCTTGCTTCCGGTATCTACGGTCGCTTCTCGCCTTCTGTCTCCACTGCGTCCCTGAGAGGCCGGACCACGTGCTGGTTCCGAGTCCTCATACGACGACCACGGGTTGTCAGTCACATCCCGTTTACTGCCAGTCGACATGCTCTCCCGTCGCTGGTTCTTCATCTCGCCCTTCTCCTCAAGCTCGACGCGAGCTTGTGGGATGGTTGATTCCTTCAGGCTTATCAAGACGGGTTCTGTCAACGTCATGGGCTTTCCCCTCCAAGTCACGCATAGAGCCGCATTGCTTCCCTTGCTATCACGACCAGCTGATCCTTTGACCATAAAACCCCGAGAGTTCGCTGACGGCGCTGGGGTTGCGGTGCTCAACTCTACGATGGCAGGTTTTCCTGGGCGGTCAGGCTTTCCTGTGTCCTGGAGAAAACGGTTGTCGCTCCCACCAGACAACTCCAGCGGTGCCGTCCCGGGTGCGATCCCGTCGCCGTTCCGCTGCCCCTCTCCACACCCTCCCACTATCTCCTTCTGGTCTTCCTCCTTATTCTGGTCCACGCCTTGCGGCAGAATTTTCATGCCCTTGGTGTCGCTAGAGCTTGGATGTCCTTGTTCGGCCCAAACGGTTGTTTGTTTGCCCTTTCCTGATCTAGACCCGCTTCTCGTGCCCACCGGCATGTTATCTTCCTTTTCGGATACCGGTTCTGCGGAAGGATTACTTTCCTTCTCGTCATTTCCAGGGACCCTGGTTGTCTCTTCTTGGGCCAACTCTCGTTTCGAGTCAAGCCGCTCACTTATTGTCCTCATCTGGTTGTTGTTTGTTGTGCCTTCCACTTCCCTTCCTGCATCACTCTCGCCGAGCAAACCTTCTCCGTCGATTTCCTATTTTCGTTCACCGGCAAAGAGATGGATATTTTTATTTGGGGGCACGGAAGGACACGCACACCGACGATACTCTTCGCAGCCTCGTGCAGGTATTTAGGGAGTGGCGAAACGTACACACACGCACGGGGACGTCGCTGTACGACGAAGCATGGAACACCACCGCAACGTTCCTTCGTCTTGACATTGACTGCTTGGCCAAGCGTGTCATGAAGCGTGGTAACTCAAACAGCCACCTGGGGAACCTATACCCTACGCAGTCGAGGCAATACACTATCCGTCTCCGCCCCGTTCCATCCGACGATGTGTTTTTCTCGGCCCATGGCCGATCTCTTGCCCGAAACGGAAGGGACTGGGGAGGCGATGAAGGAAAAAGGCTATGCCGTTATTCGTCAGCCCTGAGGGGGTATGGCGACAGGAGGGGGAGGCAAGAGGTAGATGGACGGTCATGATAATTCTTATGTACTTCATCAAACTATAGAAAAACTAGAAGGATTTCCTGCATATGATAGTCCATGCGGTCACGCACCTCGATTGCTGGTCGTGACTCGCTCCCGGAAAGGCAGGTTCCGTTCGCCGATGCCCGCCGATGGTTCGTACGCAACGTTGATAGCAAATGCTCTGTTTGTTCATTTTCGTCGGCATGCAAGAGAGGTTGGTCTGCACTCTTGCCTGAGCTAGTGGAGCCAACGAATCCGTCTCCTCCTTCATGACCAGAGGTGTTTGAACCCTTTTCGCTGGTTGAGAGACTGTGCTCCGCGGCCTTAGAACTAGTCTCGAGGTCTTCTGTTTGCTGGCTTGCTAGCCGGGTAGCTCCACCTGCTGGTGTTGAGTCTATCTTCTTGTCGCTGGCAGTCGCGACAACAACCGCGATAGGGGGAGGAACCAAATGCCACACTCCATGTTCTTCGTCGAAGTGAACCTGGAGTTGACGGGTGCTTGCCGTGGTGAGCACACAGCATTTGTCAACCAGCGTGACGTCCGCCTTTTGGTTGGGCACGCCGCGGAGAGGGGGGCAAGTGGAGAACAGAGGCACACGCGCGCTTTGAAGTCAACCACCACGGTCATTGTTAAGTCCTACAGACACACAAGCAGCCTCAATTTTCGGTGATAAGATAAACAAGAGCGCGCACGCACAGGTGACCAAGCGCACGCCCGCATGCAACACCTCATTCGTATTGGTCACTCGTCGTGACACCACACGTGGACTGCAGACAATTTCCAAGATGGGAGCTTGCGTTCGGTTTCATGGTACAAAGCAAATGGTTTTGCTACTATATATAGCAGCGTACCCAACATACCTTCTCTGTTGCCGGAAGGGCGAACTCGATCGGAAAAATCACGAGTGCTAACCGCTTGGGTGAAATTGGGACGGTGTAGCTGTGATGTTCGGCGAAGGGCCGAAGACGAACCCTCATGAGCATTTTGCCATTTTTGATGCCCAAAGCAACATACGGAGGCTGGAGAATCGAAAACAACATACCGACGCGACCCAGGACTAGGACCCCGCGAGGAGATGGGAGTGATGGGGTTCCTTCTGAGCGGAGGTTAGCGTTGTCTTTGTCGGTGTTACCAGACGAGGTGATGGATTGTACAGGACTCCGAGAGACGGACGTTTTGGCGACAAATGGATTCCTATCGTCCGCATGTCTGCCAACATTCCACTGCCTAGCACGAACTACAAAATGCCGGCCGACTTATGGAAGTAAGAAGTATCCCACACGAGAAGCCGAGGCTCAGGTTGTTGAAGAAAATACCTGAGTATAAAATCATTGACATATGCTAGCTTGCTGACACACTGGAATTCGCGAGCGTGAAGCAGAAAATTCTCACGGGGCTCTCAGAGCGCCGCCTTCTGGCTCTTTCGGCCTTTCACAAAGCGCTCTGCATGTTCCGCTTGGTTCACGTCTTCTTTCTCGTCTGCATCTATCATCTGTCTCGTCTGCTGGCGGGAATCTATTGCCCCTTTCCTCTGCTCTCTCTCTCGTCCATCCATTCACGTTTTACCTCTGTCTCTCTCTCGGCTCTCACATACATGCATGTCGATAATCTTCTAGTCTTTTCTTTCCGAATGCCCGAGACATGCATATGCTGCAGTTCCATCTCTCCGGATCGTTAGAGCGCGTTGTTATACTTCCTCTGCATCATAAGTCTGGTCTGCTATGTGCGTGTAGTAGTAAAGATACTTGCACGTTGACGTTTAGCCTATGGCTGGGTCCGTTAGAAAGGCAAGGCATATGCAAAGCTGGCTAAAAAAAAAAACAATCGAAGACCGTGTAGTACACTAAAATTAGGTCAAAATATGCCCGTTTTGGCCTGTTTTGAGTTTTTTTTTGAGATTTTTTTTAGAATGCGTGAGATCAGTCGTGATTACCACCCCCCCACACACTATGCAAACGATGGATACGCCCCCAAGTACCCCCCCACATCGCCCCAAGGGCGGCGAGCTTTCAGTGGGCCGACGCATTGCAATTGTAGTGGAGGCTGCGCTGGCTATTCCGCCGGGCCAAGTACAGATACCCAGGGGTGCGCTGGGCCCATCGACACCAACAGACACTTTTTCTGCCCGCAAGTGTCTTGGTTTTAGTGTGGGCCCCCCAAGTATATTGGTTTTAGTGCGGAACCACCAAGTGTCTTAGTTTTAGTGTGGGGACACTATAATACTGCTTTGAGTATAGGGGGGCGCGATGTGGGTCGCTGAGTAGAGGGGGGGGGATTCGGGCCCTACTCTGTTGTTTTTTTGCCCCGCAAGTGTCTTGGTTTTAGTGTGGACCCCAAAATGTCTTGAATTCAGTGTGTGGGTCACTATCAATATGGTTTAGTATGGGGGACGTATTGTGGATGGCTGAGTCTAGTCGGGGTTAGCTTTAGGGTTGGGGATAGTTCTTGGTTTTTTGGGGGGGGGGTTAGGCTCAATGCCGCACGTACCCCACCCCCCGGAAAAGGGCAAAATATGGCCGTTTTCGGGCCGACTCAAAGTTTTCCGGCCGTCTAGTCGCATGGTTCAAGCACCAGTTTTAGAAGGAAAAACATGTTCTCTTGCTAAAAAAACGCCGTAGAATTCAACAAAAAAAACGAAAAACAGATCGGACACCGTTAAGGCGGCTTAAAAACCTAACAGACCAGACTTATGATACAGAGGAAGTATGTATATGCTATATTTAATCCTGACTTTCTTACGTCTTCTCACTCTGCATCAGTCTCTGCATTGCATCTATCTGTCTCGCCACGGCGCGGAAACCTTTCGCATCTATCCTGTGTTCTCTCTCCCATCCATCATTCAATTCACATTTTACCCCAGTCTCTCTCGGCTCTCACATGTCGAACATCTTCTCATCTTTTCAGCCAATGTGCCCGGGATTTTTCCAGCCCATACACGTTCGGGATTTGTCCGGGCAACATATTTACATTCGAAATTTCGGACCACTTTTTTTCAGTCCGCTCATACATACATGGAGTCTTACTGCCCGGCCGGTGCTGTAAGTAAGGGTCGTTCTTATCGACCGAAAAAACACGGAATATTTCACGGAACCGTTTTTTCTTGAACAGGCGTAGCTCCCCGAAAACGTGAAAAGAGGGAGCCGGGATTTTTTGGGGCTTGCTCGTTTCACGGTTCCGGGGAAAAACGCCCCGCTTTTCCCGGGCAGCCGAAGCAGACACCGGTCACGCGTGCTGCCTTCATCACACCACACCTAGACAGCACCCACAACACCCCAAGAAGCTTCCCACGGCAAGTCGACCACCATGGCTGAGCGCGGGAAGCGCCAGGATCCCACAGACCCCGCAGCGCAACGCCGGGAGAAGCTCCGTCGACGAGCTATCGACGAGGAGAATGCAGCCCAGGAAGACAAGAGATAGATATTCACGGTCCTGGGTCTTCCGAGGACCGTAGTAGTGGCGGCGGGCGTGGTGGCAGCAGGAGAAGCTCATCGTGCCCACTGCCCTCAGGAACGGGAGCCCATCTATGAGCCCAAGCGACTTCCGTGGGCCCAACACGAGGCGGACCTCGATACACGGCACGGCTGGCGGCGGTCGTACCGCATGGAGAAAGGCAGTTTCCACAAGCTCGTCGAGCTACTCCGCCCTTCGCTGGAAGTCAACGCCTGCTTCGGCGGTGAGTGTTGATGCGTAGATGCAGCCGCCCACGGCACGTATGCGTAAGGCTCCCTCTGGTGTATATATATGTAGAACCGGGGACGAGCAACTCAAAACCAAGGGAGAAACGATATTACAGCTGTAGAATATTGTATGTACTGCTGTATGTTCCTGCTGTCTTGTTCAAAAATAAAAACTCGCTCGTCAAAGTAGCAGTACCATGCAGGAACATACAGCAGTGCCGCAGCATATCTCGTCTACAGCAGTACTACTGTAGTATGCATATTGTACAGCAGTGCGACGCTGACTACCGTGCAGCAGTAATAGACTAATAGTTAATCACAATACACGCCGGCACCACTAAAACAAAAATACATGCCTCGTCGGGAGCCAATGCAGAATGTCGTATCCCGCAATGACACAACAGCATTCGACACTGCTCCTCATGTGCAAGACATCGTGTGTATGTGGGTGATTAACACAGAGCCGTCTCAGTACCGTAGTCGGGAGGTGGACTGGGCCGGCAATCTGACGAGTTTGTCGAGAACATGCGTCCCCCGTCAAAGGTTGCTAATGAGGTGCTGGCGATTGCAAACATGCCACCTCTGACACTCGCATGACCTGCAAAAATTATCTGCGCGTCGCTCGGAAACCCCACAGCACTGCGATCGCCACGCAACGGCGCCATAGCTGTGGAAGTTCGCGTTGCCGTGGCGTTGAGGATCCTGGCTGGCGCCAGTTACTGGGATGTCCTACTCATGTTTGGCTTGTCGGTGGCGGTCACATACCAGATCTTGTGGGAGGTGATCGATGCCATCAACAACACGCCTGCGGTTGGGGCATTTGACTTCCCCCTGGCCGAGGAAGGATGCATGCGAAACGCCAACAGATTCAAGGTGAGGCCTAGCGGTGGTCAGTACTGCTGCTGTGAGGGTTATTCTTGGCGGCATTCTTTCGACCAACCACGCGATATCGTTCGTTTTTGTTTTGTACGACTGGCGTTTCCAGCCGTTTTATTAGTTTGGTGAGGCCTATCTATGATACGCAGCCACCGTCGGCAAAATGCGGGTACAAGTTCGGCTTGTCGTCGTTGTCAGCATGCTTCGAATCGAAAAAACACCCCCCGGGTCCCAGGTGGTTCGCCAGCTATTGGCGTCCTTTTTCAAATAGATGTTACTACAATATACTGCCATCAATTGTGTATGCTGGCCATGTTGGTTCGGCCCCGCAACAGCTTTCAGCGAGGAAAGAGTGTGGAATAAATGTACTGTAGTCCCCTCCGTGTCTCTAAGATGCCCTGGTGCCTTTTTTCCGCTGTACCTGACGCGACTCGGGATTAGCAAACAACATCAAGTCTCAGCTTACACGGTATGCGCACCCTTCTTTGCTAGTGATGGCGCCGTCGCCGATGACACCAACCCACACAACGTATCNCGATGTGCACCGCCGACTACCGGTTCTGCGCAATGTCGGCGATCTCTCCAGGCTCCACGAACGACTGGGTGGCATGGAATCGATCTTCCCTCGCCAAGGCCGTCGCCCGCTTGCCCGCCGGATTTCACATCATTGGTGACGCCGCCTACCCCATCGGAGAAAAGCTTCTGACTCCGTACCCTGGGAGGCAACTGCGGGCGGGCGAGGACTCGTTCAACTTCCACCTCGGCCAGCTTCGTGTCAAGATCGAGCAGAGCTTCGGCATCCTGGTTTCGACTTGGGGCATTCTGTGGAGACCTCTCCGCATGCAGCTCGGAGGACGCGCGGATCTCACCACAGCTCTTTTTCATCTGCACAAATTCCTGCAAGACGAGAAGGTAGCGCCGATCCAGCTTTCAGAGGAGGACTCCCGCAGCGGACTCAACCGGTCGGCCCTCTGTGCTACCCAGCGCACCTTGTCGGATGGCTGGGGAACGGAGCCGACTCCTTCGAGGAGCGGTGAGACCCCGGCCCGAGCGGCTATCCGCAAGGCCCTGGAGTTGAAGAAGCAGTGGAGGCCGGACTACAACCTCCAGAGGAATTGGTAAGGACGTATCCAACTCTGGCGGCATCGCGTGGCGGGCGCACGAGGGGGTAGTGGGGACGCGTCTACATAGGTGCGGATGGAGTCGGATGGGGGGAGGGTCGCTACTGCGAGCGGGCGAGAGGCGCGGCAAGAGGGGAAGGGGGCGCGAGGGGGGGGGGGGGTACTCATAGTCGTGCATACCGTAGTCGTTAGACCATTGACCTCGCATCCCTACAAAGCCGGGACGGAGCACGCCGGGTTCTCACCGGACCAGGCTCTCACATCACCAAGCGCGAAGCGCCGTGAGATATTCGGCGAGTCGCATGAAGGGTGCGCTGCATCCTGCTAAGGGTGTTCGGCATCTTGTGCTTACTTCCTTGCGTACGGATGACAGCTGCGTATGAATTAATTTATTTTCTGGTGCTTTCACTTCCAGAGACAGTTGTAAGCACTGTGTAACTGCCTCGAGGGTGCTTGACCATTTTAACACAACGTGGTGCGATCATCCCCCTTGCGCGGAGTGAGGGTTCTCCACCCCGCACAACATGATCTAGTCGACCACCATTGTGGTTACCGCCAAAAAGAAACGGAGGTAAAAAAAACCGGTAACCTGGTTGCCGAGTTCACGAAGTGAATAGGCTTGTTTTACAACGTCGTTGCCAAGCGACGAAAACCCAACCCCGATGGCAAAGGGGGGGAGGGGGGGGGGATGCACGGGGAGGCTACTCTGGCCGTCGTGGGTACACTAAAAGGGCGGGTTAGGGTTCGGGGCTACATAGGCGGATGGCGGCAGAAGTAGGCTCGCTGCCTCGAGGTGGCGGGTCTCGCTTCCACGGTAGGATGGGACGCTCGGGAGAGGTGGCGGGTCTCGTTTCCACGGTAGGATGAGACGACCGGGAGGGGGGTACCTCGTTGTGGAGGGCGGAGGGCGCTGGACGGAAGCGTTTTGGGTGTTGGTAAGAGGGTGTGA